TCACGCTAATAAACTACATTTATTCCAATAAATTAACAAAGTTACAACACCCGATATAAAATAGACTCCCACACTTCCCCAAAAGTACTCGATATTCTTCGGGTCGTGGTCGAACCCACTCCATTCTCGTCAATAGCTTACTTTCCAGACGTCACGCACTCACCCCAGAGTACTCGATATTCGATACTGGTTAAACCACCCCTTCCTTTCACTCTAATAAATTACATTCATTCCAATAAACTAGCATAAACACAATATTAATTTCAAAAAGTCCTTGAAGATGAAGCACACTGCAGAGAGAAGGTCAGCAGCGCTAAGTACGCCGTTAATAGTATGTGGCGCAAAATAATGACCAACAAGAAGATCCCACTAGAGAAAAAGATGGTGATATTCAACAGCACCCTGAGGTCTGTAGTATGCTATGGTGCGCAGGTCTGGGGTTACTTATACTTGAAGGAAATAGAAAATGTACAGAAATACTTCATCAAGAAACTGCTCTGCCTGCCAACTAGTACCCCAGACTACATCCTATATATTGAGTGCTCGGTCACACCACTCTACAGTCACACTTTGAGCCTGCATTTGAAATATATAAGTAAAATACTGAATCACACACCTGACAGACTGACGCAGTTTTTGGCCGACGTAGTAATAAATAAAGGCATATTATGGCACAAGCAGCTGTCAGAGTTAGGTAGGCTGTACGGTGTAGGAGTAAGTCAGGGAAGAACTGAAGTCCCCTAATACACGGACCTGATAAAAAATGGGAGGAGAGCAAAAGGAAAGACCTGGTAACCCGCGCGAGAAACAGCTTACATCACACCTTGTATGCAGGACTGGATTTTCACTTAGGGCGAAATTACATGGAGTGCTCTGATATGACAGCCTATGAGGTGTCTCTGGTCTTGAGGGCGAGGGGTGAATTACTTCAGCTGAACTGCCAACCGTGGAGACAGGACCGCGCCATCATTTGCTCCTTACGTAACCTTAACGTCCCGGAGGACACTCTCCACTTCATGGGAGTGTGCCCCGTTCTGAGAGAGCTCTGCCAAAGGTACTTTGGGAAACTGAATCTGGATGTAGAAGAAGTCATTGCAATCCTCAACGGAAGGGATAACTGGAGGAAGCTTGTGGTTTATCTCTCTCACGCCCTGCGGTACCGAAAATACCTGGTTGACCAATTCAATTTTTAAAATCAAAGTTCATTCTAAAAATACAAAAATTGATAAAGCAACTCGACAGACGGCTAAGGCCATTACCAACTTAGCTTTTTCTTTGGAAATATAAAGTTAATGTAAATACTTTGTGTAAATAAAGCCTTTATTCATTCATTCATTCATTCATAAACCCAATACAAAAACAACACAAACCTACATAAATTATATATATTTCAAAAGTGCTGTAGACCTACGCACAGATCCAATGATTTGCCATAGTATTCACTATATAAGTCTAGCCTATTACAATTGAAAAGGTGCTTTCATACTTGCATAACGATCACCTACGCGGTAACTTTCCGGCCAGAAGGCGCCCGTGCGTTGTTATTGTATGACCTATGCGTGGTCTTGTGAGTAGAGTTTTTTCCATTTTTCACCCATTCTCTATGGACCGCATCTATACAGAACAACAAAGTAATGACAAATTAAAAAACAAACACGAAAAAAAAAAACCAAAGCCTTCAACAAAATACTATCCCAAATTTAGTTATTTTTGAAGCATAATTCTGTTATATCAAGGATAATTTATTGTTTTTTATATACAATATTGATTAACTAACTTTTGAAATGGTTAATCTATATTTTCTATTTTGTAATTTTTAAGTTAATTGAAAATATTGTTGTTTTCTCTAATATTATAAGTATAACATATTCCAAAATTGAATAAATAAACTCAGAGAATTCGTTATGCTAAATGGTGAAACAACCAGGACACACTCTGAATAATGAAAAAATGACACAAGAAAGAAAAGGGCGAGGATTCAACAGTGGCATGTTATTCTCTCGCCAACATTAAATTTAATTAGCAAAACTTATCTTACTTCACGTAATTTTATTTAGTACGACAAATGCGTGTAAAGTCGTTTTAATCTCATTACGTACACTTGTACAAATTTAAATTTTGGGCTCTTTCTCTCCACAATGTGACGAAACTTCTCGATCATACTACAATACTGCAAGGTAAAACTTTATACCCGCCTTCGCTCGAAAATATGAATAAATAATACGTGAATGAAGTGTTTGATATATGTACATCTCAGCTTATTTTGTGTGCGTGGGCATGTTTGTGTCTTGAAGATACCACTCAGGAGGGCTTATAATATTCCTCGGTAATTGTGAAGATTGTTGTTATTTCCAATTTAATGCGAACCTTACCCAATTTAGAACACTTATAAATCCTTAGCCTTCCAAAGAGAAATACTCCGGCACGGCACTTTCTGACGGGTAATAGTGCGGCTTTTTCCCTTTGTGTCCTTATCTTTCCCCTCTTAAAGGCTGAGAGGTGGGTTTCCAAAGGACCCTTCCACAGGGCATTTCTTTCTTGTGGCACACTAACACAAACAAAAATCCGGAATAGTATTTTGTGTAAAAATATGGTTTTTATATAAATAAAAACTAACACACATTTTTGTATTTTTGTTCAAAACAGAGTGTAAAAAAAGGGAGACGGAGGGATAGATAGATTTTTAGATAGATCGATTAAATCGATATATATATATATATATATATATATATATAGAGAGAGAGAGAGAGAGAGAGAGAGAGAAAGAAGGGCTAAAAATTGTTATAAAACGTTCGAAAATNTAAATTGAAAGAAACTGAATGTATATCAGTACTTTTTTGTAATTTCTTGAATAAAAGTTTTTTAAAAACGGATTCGGATAAAAAACGTTTATTCAAGAAATTGCAAAATAGTTATTCAGAAATCGTGAGATGCGGTCGGGTGTGATGTAGGTTTCAGAAAAACATTTTTTTTATCGTGACAACGTTTCAATTTTTATTGAGATCATCTTCAGGGCTCTTTGATTGAATATAAAAAATATTTTTTACATTGTATAAATTCACCTTTTTTCCACATCCTACATACATTTGTTAAATTTAAACAACACCAATCTTTGTAAATCCCAGGCCCTGAAGCTGATCTCAATAAACATCGAAACGTTGATACGATAAAGAAAATGTTTTTCTGAAACCTACATCACACCACACCGCATCTCACGATCTCCGAAAAATCTATATATATATATATATATATATATATATAGAGAGAGAGAGAGAGAGAGAGAGAGAGAAAGAAGGGCTAAAAATTGTTATAAAACGTTCGAAAATGATAGGTTCAGAGAATAAGGGAGAGTGATATAAGTGAAAAATCTAAAAAGAAAAACCCAGTTGGAAATGAAACCGAGGGACATCAGTAAATCGAAAAAAATATGATGATGGAGAGCTTGTGGGAGGGAGAGTGAGAGAGATAGAGAGAGATAGATAGATAGAGAGAGATAGATAGAGATAGAGATAGAGATAGAGAGAGAGAGAGAGAGAGAGAGAGAGAGAGAGAGAATTTAAAACGGGTGAGAAGGAATATGAAAAGTGAGCCCAACCAAGAGAGAAAGAAACTGTGAGGGAGTGAAAGTTAGAAAGAGTGAGTGAGAAAGTGAGAGGGAGCGAATAGTATATGAGTTGACATTAAAATCACAATAAAAGATAAAATGTTTTACATTTTCCTCGGAATGAATTTTTTTAACAAACTAATATTTATACAAAAAGCTCCATCCAACGGAAAATAATATTGACAATGCCATGCTTTATAAATAGCATTAGAACTTTTAAAGGTGGCCCATTCATTTTTGGTTAATACCGTATTTTTAAAACGAAATTGAACCTGACATGTACGAACATTTAAGTGGCTTTCAGGAGGGACAAGTTTAATAATTGTCTGTGGTTAAAATGTAACGACAGTTCATTTGGAAATTATAAAACGAACCATTTTTTCCCAAGGTTTTCTTAAATGAATGTTAATTTTAAATTTAAAAAGAAAACCTTCGCCCATGGCGAATATTACTTTAACAGGATGTTGCTACTTTAAAACCAAGCGCGATCGTGTTTTTTTCATTATCCATGTTTTACATTTTTAATGGTTTCTTGCGTTTGTATTTTTTAAAGTAAAATGTTAGTTGAGATATGAAGAATGGTGGAACGGTTATTTAGTCACCTTTCATCACTCTAGTCTGCCTAGTTTTTTTATCGCATATAAACAATCAAATGAAGGTAAGAACTATTCGGTTACGTGTAAGGTAGAGAAATCAGCAAAAATGCGTCTGACAGGCCAATCAGACGAGGAACACCTGAATCGGCCAAACGTTAGGTAGTTTGTTTAAATGTATTTGTTAATTCATGTATTTAGATAGGAAAACATGAACCGTGTTAACGACATAAATACATAATGTGAAACATTCAATATTGATGAGAATATGCCTTTTAAGATCAACCCTCGACATTGATCGTTTAGGGGTCCTAAAAACCGTAATCTAAAGACATCTTCTTACCTTGATATGGTTTACATAGCCTTGAGAAGGGCAATAAAAAGCGCCGAAGCTTGGCGAAGTAGAGACTGTTTGTCTTGAAAGGTGGTCTATTAAAGATTAAGTCAATCAATATTGCGTTTGGCTATACTTTCATGCTAATAAGTATGTTTCCAATAATATATTTATACATATGATAAAGATTGACGGATCAAGATAACCTAGGATGATCTACGACTCACCCGAAATCACTTATATCGTATTAGTCTCGTTAGTTGGAATTCTCATCCTCACGAAATAGTTCATTTAAATTAAATAAATGAAATTTATTTAATCGATATGAAATCATCTACTGGCTACGTTCGAGAAAAGTAACAGGTACAGTTCCCGGGGGCACCGCTAGTGGTATCAGGGGTGGTTTTCCGCCCGCCAACCGCCAGTTCACCCCTAGCTCGCGTCCGCTGAGTGTCGCTCGTTCACCCTTCAAAAATACGTAATCGTCGTATGAGAATTTTGTTTTACAAATATCAAGGTAATTAAAAAACTATGACTATTAAATAGAAAAAATATTGTTTGTTTGATTAAAATTACATGGACCATGTTTTACTGTTGGCCTTTAAAAGTATTTTACTAAGTGATTGAAGAAGCCAAATTTTTTAAAAACTAAATTATAAATAACTGGTGTTTTTATAAGTTTCATAGTAACTAGGATCGGTTTTGAAGAAAGTCTGAAATCTATTTTGATCTTTCAAATTTTTAAAAATTAACTTTACAAGTTTTTCTGTAAAATTGTTAAGCTTAATTCAGTCTAGAAATTTTTGCCATCTAAATTTACAAAAAAAAAATTGATTGATTTAGGTCTCATTATATCTAGAATCAGTTTTAGCAGAATGGAGAAAAGTGGAAAATTAATTTTGATCTTTAAGACTGAAAAAATTCAGCATAGTTTCACGCTGGCCTGTAAAATATTTTACTTAAAATGTGCCTGCTGAAATCATATATTTTTTTAAAACTAAATATTCAGGAAAAAATATTTTTGTAAGTTTTATTGTGTTTAACATCGGTTTTTGAATGAGAGGCTGCTTAATGTATTTTTTTACATTTTAAAGGTCAAAATTAATATGTCGTTTCTCCCAATTCTATTGAAACGGATCCTATTAAAATGAAACATAAAGCAATCAGTAGTTTTTTAAAATATAATTTTCAAAACTTTTTATACTGCATTAAGCACATTTTAAGCTAAATTCTTACCAGTAAAATTTGTGAACAAAAACTTTATTTTTCAAAATTTTAAAAAACAAAACCTAACCTTTTAAAAATTTGAAAAATGAAGTTTTTGTTCACAAGTTTTACTGGTAAATACTTAGCTTAAAATGTGCTCAATGCAGTATAGAAAGGTTGAAAATTATATTTTAAAAAATTACTGATTGCTTTATGTTTCATTTTATTATGATCAATTTCAATAGAATTGGGAGAAACGAAAATATTAATTTTGACCTCTTAAATGTAAAAAAATACATTAAGCAGCCTAGTTTCACTATTGACTCGTAAATTATTTTACTTAAAATGAGCCTAATGCAGTTCAAAATATTTAAAAAAAAATTTTTTATGCATACTATTTTTATACGCTTTTGGAATGAGTCTGAAACTTATTTTGACCTGACACATTTTGACAAATAAAGTTATTGTTCACAAGTTTTCTAATTAAGCAGGGATATGTCTAATGCAACCTAAACTTTTCAAAACTAAATAAATAGTGATTGTTATAGATTCCATCATGTTTATGATTGGTTTTGGTAAAAGCATTAATTTTACTTTTTAAAAATAGAAAACTACAGTTGTTGGCTGAATTTCTCTGTTGGCTGGTAAAAACGTTTTCCTTAAAATATGCCTTTCGCATCTAACAAGTTTTTAGGGATAAATTAAATAATAGAAATTGTTTATGTTTTATTGTGTTTTGGTTTGGTTTTGGAATAAGTGCAAAACTAATTTTTGCCTTTAAATGGAGAAAACTAGGTTATCGGACTATTAGTGCTGGTTTTTTTAGCTTTTAAGTAAAATTTGCACAGTGCTTTATTCTGTTTAGTTTTCGTTGAATCAATATTGACCTTAGACATATAGAAAAATACATTACTAACGGAAAAAAAGTATTTTTCTTTTGTATAGTTTTATTTCAAATATTTATTTTCACCAAGTTGTTTAAGTTAAAAATATTATGAGATCATTCTGATTTAGGCACTCCTTACATTGGTTTTAATAAGCTTATAATTTAATATATAACAAACATCAGTACCATTTCTCGTATATTGAACCTAGTGTAATATCTTACAATTAATTATGGTTTTCAGTTGAGATAAAAAAGTCAATGGCACGAGCGGGATTCGAACCCACGAGCGGGCCATTGACTTTTTTATCTCAACTGAAAACCTAAATTAATTTTAAGATATTAATTGGTCAAGCGGACCACGAAATTAGTGAATTGAATAAGTTTAAAATGAAGTATACCTTCACTAAAGCTCTCCGTGGCCATTTCATTTGTCGCCGAGAATCGAATTGATTACACGACATTTGAAAAATGGCAAAAAGGAGGGAAAATTCAAAAGGTGGGGTTGAGATAGGAAGTTGATGTCCGAGTGGATCGAGGTCACAATAGCTCATGTGGTAGAGTAGCGGCGTATCAAGCCGAAGATCGTGGGTTCGAATCCCGCTCGTGCCATTGACTTTTTTGTCTGAACTGAAAACCTAATTAACTGCAAGATATTAATGGTCAAGCGGACCACGAAATTAGTGAATTGAAGTAGTGTAAAATAATATTTTTTATTATTTTTATTAGCATTATTAGTGTAGATGAAAAGTTTCATATGGTGTCAAAAATAAGGAACGTATTTCTCTGTATAATTCCGTCTTTTTAACAAAAAACGAAATTGTTATGTTTAATTTGAACAGTTTTTAATTTTTTTGTTAAAGTTGGGACTTAATTGAGATCTGATATAGCTCAGACAATAATTACAGTTTAGAAGTAAGTTCGAAAAGATAATTTGTCACGCGATAAAAGATAAACACAGGATCAAACGACTTACGTCCCTCGTGAAAATAAAACAACACGAACCGCAACAATAAAGAGTTTAATGATATTTTTTCGTATCAGTGAGACTGAGTTAATTACTACTTATAATTACTAATTCTATTTAAAGGCGAGTGAACAAATTTGAAAAAAAGAAACATTATCCAGCAAACACCCTCGAAACTGGGAAATTAGGAAATAACCTCCAGTTTTATAGCATGACATCGAAATAGGAGAGGAAACGGTTATAATAAGAAATAAAAGTTTAAACACCCTTGTTAATTCTATTCGTGGAGGCAAGGAAAAACTCAAGGGGGAGAAATTCCCAGTTATGCAATATCCATGAATCTCATTCTGAACTAATGTCTAAAGTTGGGGCTTAATATCTATTTGCAGTCTTCGTAACAAGATTATCTTCGAATTAGTATTTTTTTCTTCGCCCTGATCGCCATTAAAAGGCTGAATTTATTGCGAAGAACATATTCAAAAGAAAAGCAAGACTATTTTGGGGATGGTGAGAATTTACCAAAACTAGCAGTGACAAGTAGTGCGATTTAAACAAACTTTAATATTCTCGGAAATTTTAATGCATATTTTGAGTAGATAAATACATATATATGATCGCAAGAATATCCCGGCTACAAAAAAAAACCCTCTTTGTGTCAATATATTATAATAATTATTTTTTAAATATCTGTTATCAAACTGATAGGAAAACCCGTTTTTGAAGCATATGTGGGTGGTATTTTCGTCTAAATGGCCGGCTTCTCAGCCCATTAGACACTAAAGTCATTTGCTCCCTCCAGCTGGGTTCTGCTTCAATTCGTTCGGTCGTTTCAAAACCTCGTCCGGTCTCAATTACGTGAAACGAATCATTAAATTAAGCATTGATTTTCCAAATTCTCGGTACGAATCGAACGTATTGATCAAGCGGAAGAAACAATAAAAACGCAGAGAAACCGCGTTACGAAAGTACGGGAAACGATAAACCATACTAGCACCTAAGAAAGTAGCAACATTAAATAAGTTAAAGCCGTATGGAATCTGATATGAAAAGACAGAATACAAAGAAAAAAGAAGTAATTTTTATCTTTATGTACACACGTTCATTAATATTGCACGATGTTAATCAATTTTAATTGCAATTACCAAATTATAGAAGGATATTTGAAAATAGTTGTAAATCCTGATATCGCGCAGCTAGTAATGTAAACAAAAATGCACATTGCAAATTCTTTAAAATAAATTTTGTTTGAAAGAAAAATATAATATTGTTAAATAAATGTATTAAACATAAATATATTATAGTTTAAAGAATGGGATGTGTTTTACGTGAGGCTAATTATTGTGAAAATATGTACAATAAAAGCATACAAAATGTAAATGATTGTGTGACAGCGAAATATAGTGAGAGAGACAGAGAGGGAGAGAAATTTAGATATGTGGTTAAATTAATAGGTTGATAGAGATAGATAGGTAAATAGACAGAAGAATAGATAGGTAAATAGAGAGATAGAGAGAAAGAGCGAGAGAGAGAGAGAGAGAGAGAGAGAGAGAGAGAGAGAGAGAGAGAGAGAGAGAGAGTATGAGGAGAAATATATATGGAGAAAAATAATAGTGAGGAGAGGGAGGAGAGGGAATAATTCATTTTAAAGTGATACGGAAGAAGATGGAAAAGGAGAATTATATATACATAAAAAAAGAAATGGAGAAAAATAATAGTGAGAAGTAGAATTATATTTATAAGTGACAGAGATAGAATATAGATTAGTGTGTGTATGTATGAGAGAGAGAGAAAGAGAGAGAGAGAAAGAGAGAGAGATAGAGAGAAAGAGAGAGAGAGAGTGAGGGAGAGAGAGAGAGAGTGTGAGTGAGCGTGAGAGGAGGTGTAAAAAATTGTGGGATAGGAGGGAAGAAGGACTAATTGTAAATAAAAGCACCAAGTAGAGCGAAAGATGAAAGAAAAAGAGAATGATAATAGAGAAAGATAACAGAGGAAAAGAAAGAGACAGGCAGGCTTATAGGAAGATTCTTTAAGAGAGATAATCATTTGACGGACATTATAGAATACGGTAATCAAATTACTGATTTTCTATTTACGTTTTAAATAATTATTTTGGTAGTTTTTTAATTATTAATTTTGATCGTTGGCGGAATTACTAACCATTCCATTGCTATACTAGTTTAAAACGTTCTTGGAGTGGCTTGCAAAATGTATCAGTTTTCCTTGAACCAAAGCAGTTAAATAATTGATCACTTTTCCCTTGAGGTACGAAAAGGTCGAATTCACTCTAAAATTATACAGCGTTTTACAAACTGTACAATCTTTTCAACAGTTAAGGGATTAATCAGGGCTTATCTCGACCTCCTTTGTTGACGAGTTGAGCTAAATATTCAAGAATTATCACGTTATTGGGTCTTCAATATCATTTTGCTGAAAACTCTTAAACAGCACCTGTTCAACATTG